AACCTCTTATGTAAATGTTATCAAGCTTGAACAGTAAAAAACGTTCTAATATTTTTTTTTTGATAGTTGACATCCTTCACTTCATTGATAATGTTTTTTTAGAAATAACTACCTTGTTCGGCGAGTAAAGAAAAAGAGGGGGAGATGACTACATCATGGCATAAGCCAAGGCCTAGCTCTTGGGCTGACTTACTGGGGTGTGATTGTCCATTCGTAGTTTGATCACATTTCCCTTGCCTCGGATGTGCCTTATCTGGACCTTTTTCCTTACTCTAGGGGTGGTGGTGCGAACTGCATGCACTCCAGGTGCAGGGGAAGAATCCTCCGTCCTGAACTCTTGGGAAACCAATCCCATCTTCGTGTGCTTTGTGGTCCTGCTCGCATGTTCCTTGGCGGAGTTTAGGTTTCCCTTGGGTCGTGCGCACCTAGACCCATCCTTTTCCTATGCCCAGTCTTTTGCATCGGGGCTTTCTACTAGTATGCACCAAGTGTGGTGATTTGTGGCGTTTCCCCTATGTTTGGCATGGCTGAGTCTAACGGTCTCGTGTTTCCTGTTGAGTATGTTCAAGTTTGGATGTTGCTTTACTTTGTTAATGGTTGCACCAAAGTTTAGCGCTCGCAACGACCTGTTTGCAACAAGTTGTGATATTGCTTTTACTCCTTGTATCGGATCAAAGGGTATTCCTTCGACGTCTGGTCTTGGGGCCTGGTGATGGATATGAGATATTTTTGGTGGTTCCATGGCCCAAGCTTTTTTCGATCATGATGGATGCTTACCTTTCGCCCACTTAATGAAACGGCCAGGGGTGACAAGAGGGAACCTGGATCCTCTTAGGGTGACGGGGGTGACCCCATGGTATCGACACCTTGTTGAACTGATGACCGATGGTTGGTGGTCAAAGTCATGAGGTGCTGGCTTTGAGAAGGAATGAGCACCTAGTATTCTGGGCATTCCTCAACAGTGACTTTCTGGGGTCCAATCTTGTCTTTGTGTGTGATGGGTCGATGTGCTTCCGGGCAAGACATCCTTCCAGCAATGGCTCTCGGGCCTCCTAGTTGCGGATCGCTTGCTTAATTCTTTTCTATAGGAAAGTACCTTTCTTTTCCTAGCTGCACCTTCTCTATCGCGAGTCATATGATTTTAGCGTTGGCCCTCTTGTTTTCTGGGGGTCGCTTGGAAAGGGGCCATACGAGAAGTAATTTGGTGAACATTTGAGTCGATTGGGGATCTTCGTGGCATTGGTGATCTGTTCTGCGTCGACGTCTCTTCCATAGAGAGCTTCAGTCAGTACCTTCTTAATTTGGTGGTCGAAAGGTGCTAAGGGCAACCTGTTCAGGGTGTCGGTGTTTGTGACTTTCTTTCAGGGAGTCTTCTCGACTTTGGGATCCCGCTGGATTGTATCAATTCTTGCTCTGCATTTTGGTATTTTTGGCCCTTTTGGTCTCTAACCCTATTGGTGGTAGTAGAGACTCATCGGGGGTTGGAGAGAGTTCTACTCCAGCTTCTCGTGCCTGGCAGAGGCCTGTTCCAAGTCCTTATTTGTCTTTTGTTTCGTTTTCTATGAGGGGCTCTCGAATCTTGCTCTGATTCAGAGTGATTTCTACTTGGTCATCTGAAGATTGGCCCTTCCTCCCCTTTAGAATGAACTCGCCTAGACTTGACGTCATCTGCCTTCTCATGGTGTCGTGGGGTAGAACTGCCTTACTCAGGTCAAGGTAATCGATGCGCTTTTGTTGTGGCTTTCCATGTTTGCTTGTTGCCATTTGGTTTGTGACCCCGCTAGGGGAGCTCGGTTCTCGGGGGATGCTTGCACCTACAGGCCTTATGACTTCGGGTTTTATTGTCTTACTCTCCTCACATGTCCCACCCCCCCTTTTGTTCGTTGGTTAAGATTCGCGCTAGCCCTGGAGCAGCGAGGGCCTGATATTAGCAGTGTGTGGGCTAAAGGCAACGATAGTGGCCGATCCGATGCTCGTGCTAAACTTCATGATTTCGTGGATCGTGGATGGTATGCCTCTTAGTTGGGAAAGCACCGGCCGCTCGAGCAGGATGTCATGCTCTATCAGGGATCATACTATTAAAAAATTTATCGTGCGTGTGACCCTGTCTCTCCCATCGTGGCTAGTTATAGTAAGAGGGAGATGTATCGTTCCTAGCGGATATAAGTTGTGCCCTGTAAACCCTGTGAGGGGACCGACGGTCGGAGGCATTAAGATTTCCTCCCAGGAGGCCAGCAACTGTTGGAAACAGTGCTCGTAAAGGATGTTAGTGTCGATGCCATTGTCTATGTAGACATAATTGATTTGTATCTGACGTATGCAAGCGGTTACCAACAACAGATCCTTAAGGCTCCAGCCTGGCATCCTCGGATCCTCTGACAAAAAACTAATACTGAGGATGCTTTTAGGGAGTACCTCGACATCATCATCCACTTTGCAGTACCCACTTCTCTTACGAGGCCTCGTGATGGTAAGGATATCCTCCTTAACTTGGCATTTTCCAACATCCTTCCGATCTCGGGTATTCCTCTGGTCAACGTCGAACTTGGACCTCAAGTCCTTTGAATTTGCCGCGAGGTTGCCCGCTAGATGTTTTTCATCCATCTCCTTCCTCATAACCGTACACTTGTCGGTATCGTGCGCTTTTCTCTTGTAGTACTCACAATAGTTTCCTTTCTCTTTGTCCACCTTTGGAGGTTTTTTCTCAACTGCATGCACCTCAACTCGGTGGCTCCGGGGCTCATCTTTACCAAATGGATGAAATTTGTGAGATGGGTGTCTTGAGTGTCGGTTGTACTTGTCATGGCTACTATCATGGCTTCTGTCGTGGTGATCTCGGTGGTTGGGGCTTGCATGGGAGTTTGTTTCTTCTTGCTTGATGTACGCGTTTGCGACGACCTTTAGGTTGGCTTCCTTTAGTTCCTCACCTTCGATCTATTGGAGGTATTTCTCGACTCTATATTTGAGCTCGTCTCTCGACTGATCTGTCCCCTGCATCTTTTTTGACAAAGGGTCGGAGAGTAGACCTTCGGTGAAGGCACCAGTTACAAGGAACTCTTCATGGTCTGGGATGTTGAGTGTCGCCAGCATGAATCTATCGTAATATGCCTGTGTCGACTCTCCTTCTTTTTGCTTGCATGCCATTATGAAGTTTTCATTTCCTTTCCTCTTTCTCAGTTGCATGAAATTGTTGAGGAAAAGGTATATTAGTTGTTCGAAACTCGCGATGCTACCCGGTCGCAACGCCTTGAACCACTTTTCGACGTTTCCAGAAAAAGTAACAGGGAAATACGTACACATGAACTACTTGTCCATCCTTAATGAAGTCAACGTCCACTCATGTGTGTCGATGTGCTCGTCGGGGTCAGTTGTTCCGTTATACTTGGGGATATTTTGTATCATCGCCAAATGTGGAATCTCATACTGCAAGAGCTCCTAGCAAAAGGCAAAAGTGATGCTTCTCACCAGGTTTTCCATGCGAGAGTATGGAAAACCACCGTACATCGTAAATTGTTGAGTGTAATATGGGTTCCCGTATACTTGATTGTACATTGTTGCTTGCAAGATGTATGGTTGCTATTGGGAGCTCGATTGCGTTCTTTTTTTGCAGTTGCGAGCTTTGTTCAGGCTGCTGGGGTATGTTCAGAGTTGAGCCCTAAGACTGTTGAGCGAAGGTGTTGAGTTGGTGTGCCGATAACAAGTGACGTTTAGACTCTTGCGACGACGGTGTTTGGTGGTTGGATCTGTGTGACTGCTGAAAATAGGGGTTGAACATTGGAGATTGTTGAGAGAAAAGCATGATATGTGGCATTCCTGCTACTGGAGAGAACTGATAGCTTGACATTGGGTATTGTGTGGAGGACAGTATAGTCCCTGCGGACCAAGTGTTCATCCCCGCCTGCTGCAGTAGCGCTTGTGGCTGAGAAACTACCGGTTGCGACTGTTGAGTCGACAATTGTGATTGTTGAGCCGACAGTTGTGACTGTTGGGTCAGTGGTTGCGACTGGTGATTCGTTGTTTACTAGGGCGTTGCGTTCGCGGTTGTAACCGACTGATCTGTTGTGATGGGCGACGGTTGCCATAGGGTGGAGATTGTTGTCGTTGTGGTTCCCATTATTGGGCCTGATGTCTGCATTGCCAGCATGTGGGTGGAGGCTTGTCCATGTGTGCCATCGAGCGACGACATTGATCTGAGTGGGCTCGTTTCTCCCCCGCCGAACGTCGTAGGTGCCTTTCCCATCATTGTCTCCGTCTAAGGTCGTTTTAAGGTTGTGTAACTCTGAGTACACGCCCGGATGGCGCCAAATGTTATGATATGTCTTTGAGCTTAATGCCATTTGTGGACTGCTTCGTTTGGTTAAGCCTGAGAATCACATCAAAGAAAGAGCCGACGTTAGTCGTCGTTCGGGAAGGGGTCTCGAAATGAGATTCCAACGGTCTGGTCAGTAGTTGTATGGGAGAATTAGGGTTTTGTTTTAGATAGAGATAAAGGTGTTCCTTTCTTCTTGAGAAGAAGGATCTCTTTTATACCTGTCATCGAGGGAGCATGTAACCGACAGTTCCTTTTGTCTTGTCTAGACCGTCAGGACGTGGAAGCGTCGTATTGGCGGATCGTGCACCACCAGCGGTTATCTGCTATTGATTTAGAATCACCGAAGAGCATCGCTCTGAGCGCTACCCTTGTCGCTCTAGGGAGTGGTTGGTACTGTTTTGGCATGTTATGGATCTTGAGGTTAGAACGTCGGGGCCTAAGTGCAAGGCCTCGAGGGTGAGGGCCCGGGCCTAGAAATTAAGTTGAGTAGCAACCGTTAGCTAGGTTTTCGTGTGGATATCCGTTCTATTATCGTTGACGTATTTCTAGAGGGATACGTTAACACCAACCGAACCATATTCTTTCTATCATGTTCATCGAATTCGATGTAACAAACATTTTTAAAAAAAACTTTATATAAATTTGTGACCTGTCATTAAGACTTGTGTCAAGTGTTTTCTTGAAAATAATGGCCATGGTTACAATGGAGGTTGCTAAATATCTAGTGGTTATATTCAGTAAAACTTCTTGTTGTATGTGTCACACCATTAAGACTTTGATTAATAACTTTGGGTCAAATCTTGTGGTTTATGAGCTAGATGGACATCCTAATGGACAGCAACTGGAGGACGAGCTGAAAGCAGTAGGATGTAAGCTAAGTGTAGCAGTTGTGTTTATTGGGTTACAACTGTTAGGTGGTTCGAATGAGATCATGTCACTCCATCTCAAGGGGGAACTAGCTCAACTACTGAAATGGTAAAGGTAATTGCTATATGAAGTAACATTGTCTTGTTTACAATGTCAGGATCTATTATATGGGTTTTTTTGGCAGATGTTAGCCTATAAAATCTTTATATTGTTTTCCTAATTGCTATATGTATCAAGAACATTCATAAATGTATCCATGCCAATTTCGTTTCAGGCCTTACATAATCTTTCAATCAATCAGCATAAACAACGAACAATAATGATTAGAAAGCATAATAATAAAGACATACAACTGATCATTGGTAGCAAGAATCATCTATAGGCAGAATGAATGATGATGGGAGCTTACTATTGTCCACAATTATTATTTGCATCAGAAAATATGAACAAATGATATGTCTTTAATTGAGATAATCTTTCAAAACAGGCCTATTTCTTTCTATGATTTCATTCCTCTTCCAATTCTCTACTGCTTTCTTAACAGTAGAATTGGCATTTGCAATCTCCTCAGCATAAAACTTGTACTCTATGATTCCTAAAGGTCCATGTTCGAGTACTTTGACCATAGTCTCCATCTCATGCTCAACCTGCCTATAATAATAGAGTTCAAAACCATATCACACATTAGAAATCAAATTTAATCATACATAACTGTTCTTATATGTTTCATACAACAGAATGAAAAGGACTTCTCTTTAGCTTTAGCATATAGAAATGAAAGCATACGCTAATAAAGTAATTTGAAAAACATAATTTAAACGTAATCCCCCAAGCAGTAGGTTGACCGATAACCTCCAAATTAACGTGTGCAAAGTTATTAACACCTCGCCAATTTATAGCAAAAAAGAAACAGTAATTCAAGAAAACAGAAAATTGATCGACACAAAGTAAAACATACACGTTGGAGAGATGGAGTACCTAAAGAATATGGAGAACGGAAGCGAGCTTCCCAGTCTGCTTTAAGAGATCGTCATATCACGAATTTAAAAGTGTAGCCTGAATTATAAATGATACCAAATGAGATATTTAATGAAGAACTGATAACTGAGAACCGAGAACCACCGCCTTAGATCTTGTGGATCAAATGTTGAAATTAAAAAAAGGGGAAAATGAGTTTTATGGATACTAATTTTTATTGTTGCATACTAGGTTTGATATGCTCAGGGTATGTGGTGTTGGTTGTGAGTCTCCAGGCCAATGGTGGAGCGATGGTAAGATCAGTGTGTTCTGTGATTTTAGCATTCTAGTCGATTAGATGGTGTCACTTTGTACCATGAACCAGTCAGTGTATGAATCATGTGGGTGGGACCTAGTAGTCATATAATTGAGACTTTTTTGTTTCAGATCGTTAGTATTTGGCATGGTTGGGTATTGGCCTTGAAACTTCGGACTGGAAGTTCGATGTAATTGTCTTGAAGGATTTGTCGGTGGTTATACACCTAGGCTGGAGCGAGATTCTTGGATTGACCACTACTACGCTTGTGGTAGTAGTGGGCTAATGATGACTTTGTAGAAGGTCAAGTGCGTACACGAAGTTTTATTGGGTAGGAATTTTGTATTGAAATTTTTTGGAATACACGATCGGGATGTTTTGAGAATTCATTCTACATGTTTCGGCAGTGATCCTAGTCGGGGACTAGAGGTAAGTATGACAAGGGGATGATTCTCAATTTTAGGGCATGGTTTCTATAGTTAGACTAATGGGTGCATGTGTTGCAAAGTATCGTTGGAGCCATGATGATGGTCAGGCTAGGATAGCCTTTGTCAGTTAGACTCTTAGTTGGAGTCTCGTGGGCAACCATGTGTGAGAGGTACATCTTCAGCAATAAGTTAGGGTTTCTACATTTCAATCTTTTAGTAGGTCGTCGTGCAACCAGGAAGATCTTAGTTAGACCGGGTCTACAAACTTTTGGTTAGCAGAATGTGATGTAAATGTTGATCCAACATCAGTGGTTGAGACCCATGTTGAGAGTCGCCTTTGTATTCGAGTGCAAGGTTGATGGCATCGTCGAATGGTCGGGGGTCCTATTCTAGTGAGATAATTCAGGGTCAGAGGGGCTTTAGTCGGTTGGGTTGTGGATTAGAGTCATTTTGGTTGTAGTTTGAACAATTTTGTTTGTCTGGAAGTCAGGCATGGTATAAGGTTATCAGATACAAGAAAAGTAGTAGAACTTTCTCTTTGTTGGTTAAAGAGGTGGCGTGTTAAGGTTCGTTCTTCGTCAGGGCATGGGATTTCCGCTAAGATTGGTTTTTGGTAGTTGTATCGGAAGGTAGTTGTTTGTGTGAGATGATTTCTCAGTTCTATTTTTTGCATTCAGGAAAGCTCAGAAGGGGTCGACTGGTCTAGTAGGATAAGTTATAAGGAATGATTTCGAGGATAAAATCTAATTATGTGTGGGAGAGTTGTAGCACCCGTTTTTCAGATTGGATCGGTATAGGGCATAAAGGAGCCAAATGCACGATTTTTGGGATAAATCATGTGTCACGACGTGACCATAGGGAGGTCACGACGTGAAAAGCCACTATGGAACACGTTCATTTGATGAGTACCACGATGTGGCAATAAGGTGGCCACGATGTGGCAGCTGTTCTAGCCCAAACCCATGATTTTAAGGTTTCTCTCGTATTTAAGCATCTTATCCCAAGGATTAGGGTATCCACCTCAGCCCCCATCACTCTCAAACCTTAAAAACCCTAACCTTGTTTCCCCATGGTGAATCTTGGATCATTTTGGTGCTTTTGGTAGCATGAAGTATAAGAAAAAGGTGTTCTAGTGTATTGATCCAGCAAGGAAACTTCATCATCATTCTCTTGGACATATTTTGGACCTTAGTAAGTCCTCACGCTTCCATCTTTTGATGGTTTCCTCTTTAGATCTAGGTTTTATGTCATGTTTTGGCCCCTTTGATGTGGTTTGTATGGTTTGAAGAGATAAAGTTTGCAACTTTATGGTTTCTCTAATCCCCTTGAGCATCTTATCTTATAGATGTGTGAATTGGTGGTGGTTTGAAGACTTTGCATGAATTTTAGGTCATATTTCATCTTTTGACCTAGATTTGGGAAAGGACAAGTATGGGGCATGCATGTCCATAAAGTTTGCATTTTAAGGGATCATTAGGGTCCCTAAAACCCTTTTGGAAGTTTTGTATTGGAGACTTTAAGGATTAAGTGCTTCATGGGTGACTTCATGCCTTAAGTGAGATCAGGACTTAGTATTTGGGATCTGGGCTTATTGGGATGTCTTAATGCATAAAGTTGGAGACTTTATCCATCAATACATTGGGAAGAATCAGATTTGAGCTTTGGAGCTCATGGAATGGATGGAAAACAGCTTAATCAACTAAGTTGTTGGGTCGCTATTCCCTCGACATGTCATCTAGTCGTCACGAGACGAATGGGGGATAAGTCAACTATTTTGTCTTATTCTACCACAACGTGGCTAGTAAAGGCTACGACGTGGTGATTCTCTGAGGTTGACTTGGATAGTTGATCTTGATCATTGAATTGTTAACCTGGGTTGACTTTTGGCTAATTGTTAGTTCTAGAGTATAGACTAAGGTTGGACCTTGTTTGATTCTATAAGTGTGTTGTACGTCTTAATGTCATTGAGCTGAGTTTTAGCTGACTTCGTGAATCAGGTAAGTCTTTTCACTATACTATGTAGGATGCTAGCTATCTTTGTGACTCTTGTATAGGTTTGCTGGGATGGGCTTGTTGTATGGTGGGTTAGGCCTGTTTGCATGTTAGGATAGGCCATTGATATGATGGGTTGTTTTAGGCCCTACTGATATGTTGGGTTGGCCCCGTTGGTATGCTGGGTTGGGCTCGTTATATGTTGGGTTGGACCTGTTTGTATGTTGGGCTGGTCCCGTTGTGGGATATGTGGTTTTCTGGGGAACTCACTAAGCTTTGTGCTTACGTTTTGTGGTTTAAACATTTTTCAGGTACTTCCAGTTCCAAAGGGAAGGGCTCGGCTTGACTGCACTGCATCCCTTGATGGCTTTTCCGTACTGATTATTATTGTTTTACTCTGATAATGAAAATATACATTTTACTTTGGTTGGCTTTGGAACGAATGTATGGATTTAATGGGTTAAAAATGAAAAAATTTATCGGTATTTTTGGGACGTTACAAGATTACTATGGTGAAGTCTTGTACGGATGATACGGAGTTGAGTTACATGATACAGTGAGGTACCTTTTACCCATTAAATCGTATTTACACTATTTGATTATTATTAAGATTTGATAGACCCGAGTGTATTACTGGTATTCATGATATGGTACTGTTACGAACCCGTTGGTAAAACGAGTAAGTAAATCTTATGATTAAAGATTTAGTTGAGACTGTGAGGATTATAAACCCTAATATTTGAGAAATACCCGTTATGAGAGATTTCGCTAATGGCTTAAAATTTAAGCCTATTATGATTAAATTATGAGATTTGATTAGTTGGTGACAAGAGGCCCCGAAGGGTAGCTAGTAGTGAGTTATGACAAGTTTTGAGAAACATGTTGTTTGATGATTAGGTGCTACCATATGACGATCCGATAGACAACAAATGATCGAAACCGAAACTAGAATTATTCTGCGAACTAACTAGGTGAGTAACACTACTCTAACATCCATTGATGTTTTATCTGTGATATACATTACAAGATTCAATTTATTAATTATTAATGAATGATTGATTGATATTGGAAAGATTAATTATTCTGAAAGATTAATATCTGTTGAAAGTTTGATCTTGATTGAGAAATGCATTATTAATTAAAAGAAAACTTATAAATGAGAGATAGATCCTTGATGAATAGATTATAATCGAGAAATGGATCACATTAAAATATAGATCGATTATGAGTACCTGCTTGTATTCGATTTGTGATAATTATGAGTAATTGCTTGTATTTGATTTGTGATATATGTGATATTTATGATCTTTGTGATATTGGATATGTAAATTGTATAAAGATCTAAATAATTGATTATTTTTGAAAGATTGATGAGTTTTGAGAAATAAATCATTATTGAGGGACTGATTATAATTGGAAGATTGATGTTTGATTAATAGATCGATTATAATTGAGAGATAGAGTACAATTGATAGATAAATTATTAATAGGTTAAACTATTAATGTAATAGATTCTGATTAAGATAAATCATAATCGAGAAATCGCTTATTACTGAGAAATTGATTATGAGAGAGAGAGAGAGAGAAAGAGAGAAAGAGAAAGAGATCATATAATTGAAAGATTAACTAGATTGAGAATTTAATTATTAATAAGATAGATCCGTGATGAGATAGATCGTTCTTGAGATATATTTTGATTGATTATTAAGTGAGATATAAAGTCTATTTGATAGAGTGATTATGGAAGAGAGATAGATCACGATAGAGAAATAAAGAGAGTGAAAGATCATTGATCAGAGATTGATCATGATTGAGAAATAGATTATTGTCTGAGAGATAGATCATTGATTAAGAGATATAATAGAAATGAGTGATAAATCATTATTGAGAGGTTGGTTATGAGAATACCGCTAATTAATATAAATTAATTATTACATACATGAGAAAATGAACTACTATGTGATTTATATGATTTATCAAATTATGTTATAGCACTTGTTATTCATTAAGCTGTGACGCTTATGTTATTATGATGATTTATTTTGTAGATATATTATTGCGATGTCCTGCTCGAT